CGGGGTCAGTCTATCTTTCTTTTTGTTATTTTCAATTACCTCTTTATGTTGTTCAAGTGAAGCAATTTTTCCGCTGATCTTGAATTTAACGCAAAATTGTATCAATATTATAAACTTTTTTACCAATGTTATGAAAAAGGTTACAGATGGGAAGCGAGTTGCGCTGATCTATCAAGTTTACAAATTAAATTTAACTTCTAGCAAAAAAAGATTCTGGCTTTTAGTAGATTCTTACAAACACTATATTTCTGCCTGAAGCGATTTTCCGCTGAACTTAGACTTCAGTGAAACTATCCCGCAATACTTCTGTAATGAGTAAAGTTACTAAACTTGAGGTGCGGGAGAGCAAATCGGTTTCCGCTGACGCTCAAATTGATCTCTAATTTGCAAAAATTATCTTCTTTCTCAAGATGAGTATTAAAATCAAATAGAGCGAATCATGCATCTGATTTTCTTTTCTCTTTGTTTTGAATCTAATTCAAAAATTAAAAAAAGTTTTTCTTATGCAGTTCTGAACATAGAAAAACATTGAAACTTTTAGCCTCAAAACAAATCCAAGTTTTTACGGTCTGGACAATCAGTAACAAACAGAAATTGTTTCTAACTGCGGTTTACAAGTCGCCAAGGGCAAAAAAAAGTAAACTTTCTTAAATTTTTTTGACTCATATCTTCGAACTTAAAATTGACACTAAAAAAAACTTATATTAAGTAGACACTTTAATATAGATGTAACTGCTGTGACACAAGATAGCACGCAACTCATTAAAAACATGGATTTGCTTGATTTAAATCTGATATCTGGGCCAAATGACAGCACGCGTGTTACACAGAACTCTCGAAAAACCATAGAGTTGGCCTTTGCAATTTTTTTCATGCACCATTAAACGTTTTGAACACGCGATCATTCATCATTATGGTGTTAAAGTTGAATTCATTATTGGACTCATGAACAAATGTAAAAACGTGAAGATGTGAAAATGGGAACATTTTTGCCGCAGAAGTTGTGAAATGAAGTGGCTTTCACAAAAAAAAACTAATCAAAATTGAGTTAGAAAAACAAAATTTTTCAAAAAAAGTTGAATACCGAACGATATCACAAATGCGAATGATTAAAAACACAAATTATTTAAAGCATATCAAAATCGGGGTACATCAGAGGTAAAGCAAAAACTGAGACAGCAAACACTCAAAGTCAAAAATATATATATATCAGAAAATAGTAAAGTTTTTACAATGGCCTATTCTTTGAAACAATGGACAACCCAATGAAAGTTTTATGTGAAAGAAGTTGAGGGCAAAAAAAAAAGTTTGAAAGCTGAAGAAAATCCTATAACTGCACAAGAGTTGAACGACTATTTCGTCGAAAACGGTTCAGAGTTTTTATCTGGATTTCAAAAAAAGAGTGATTTTTCCAAAATTATTGCAAATAAAAATTAATTCTTTCTTCCCGTCACAATTTTGTGAAAGTTTTTGACACAATATAGCAACTGCCCAACAAAAAAGTGAAGGTGACATGGGTCTCTCAAATCTTCTCATTAAATTTTCAATCAGTTTGAAGTCTTAAGCAATAAACAGTTTGGATTTTGCAACAGACGCTCTACATTTGATGGTTTTGTGGAAATTTTAAAGGTTCTTATTGAAAGCAAAAAAAACACATAAAATAGCGTACTGCACTCTTACATCTATCAAAAGCTTTTGATACCGTTGATCATGACACACTTATTCACAAGTGTCACCGTTACGGGCTGAGAGGAGTTCCTCTTAATTTACTGAAATATTACCTCAGCAATAAAACCAGTCATCTTTTATCCAAACAATTGTTCAACAACAGAGAAAATTCACTGTGGGGTACCTCAAGCTTCTGTTTTGTTCCCAACATACCACAGCACAGTGAATGTTTTCTCTATGCGGATGACATTAACATTTTTGGAACACTCAACGAAACTAAAGAACTCAAAACTGATTTCGAATTAATATCAGAATGAATGGAAAATAATTAACTTACAACAAACAAAGGAAAAACACAAATTATGATTAGCAATAGAAAAAAAAAATTTGAAAAATTTACCTGGAACCAAAACACGATAGAACTAAGAAGTGCAGCTAAATACCTGGGATTTCCTTTGCATCAAAAAGTTACCTTCAACCAACATATTGTATCAGTAAGAAAAAAGTGCAACGATTCATATCCATTTTTTATCAAACAAGACAGTTTCTCAGCTCATCTGTTCTCATTAGAATTTACAAGCAGTTTATACATCCAATGTATCAAAATGGAGTATTAGTATATGGAGTTGCCAATAAAACCGCTTTAAAAAATTTGAAACTACATCAAAATTTTTTAATTCAATTTGCGTTTCGCCTCAAAAAAACACAAGAACTAAGGATAATAAAAAAAACGCATGGAATTTGCTCAATCAATGAATAAAACGTATACGAGCTGCTGCAATTACACTCTAGAAAAAAAATTATACAAGTCACTCGATACCACTAGAAGAATAAAATCGCCAACAACAAAAAAAAAAATTACACAAATTATCAAAAAAAATTAATATCTGTGCGATTACGAACACTATATAATTCTCTAATTGATTTCAATATTAAAATCATTACAGAAATTTGAATTCAGCCTAAACAGCCTATAGACAACCTTATTCATAGAATCAGAGATACTTGTTTAATTGATTGCGACTACTTCAACAAATTGTTTTGGTAAAAAAAATATTGAGATAATTATTTTTACAAAAATAATTGGACTACAAATCGTACACCTAAAAAAACATCGTATTAATTGAAATCAAGCAAATAATAGTGAAAACAATTTTCAAGTCTGAAAACTGTTTTTTTGCTTTTGTTCTTTGATCGTAAATACTTCTGAAAAAAAAAATATCAAAAAGATTCACAATAGGCGAACTGAAAGGTTTTGAAATATATATTTTTTTCTTTAAATCCATTATCTTTTTTTTCTGGATAAAAGTTACTTCGATTAAACAACTTCAGGTCCATATAAAATAGTACTTAATAGAAAGTTCTCAGCGGCGCTTCAACAACTTGAATTACTTTCTGCGCTGACTCAAATTGGTGCTCTTTCAATGATAAGTTCTCTATATTGTTGAATTATTGCACTACTTGAAACAAACTTATTCACACACATGACAAACAGTTTCAATCCAGTCCTTCAAATCAAATCAAATCTTAACCATGGCAAACTAAAGATCAACTAAATGTCAAAACCAAAAAGTTGGAAACTTGGATTTAAGAACGAAAGTTGGCAGAAACCTGAAAAGCAAAAAATCTTTCTTGAAACTCAATCCAAAAAAATTGAAAGTACAAAGATAAAACAAAGTCTGGTCACGCTCTTGAATGAGTTATTGCGCTTTGACATGAATGAAAATCACCATTGAAAAAACTCGCCAGAGGTTTAGTCGAAAAAACTGAGTCCAAAAAAATCATCGGCGAAAAATACATTTCAAGGTTCGATCGTTTCATTCACAATGGTCAGAAAGATAGATATAGGATGTGAGACGCAAACCAATAAACAGAAAAAATTGAAAGATCTACAAATTTACCTAGCGAAAAAAAACAAGGCCGACCCGGACTAAGTCCCTGGAGGAAGCTTCTGAAGCAGGCCAATCGAACCACCACTGAATTTACAGATTTTTAACGAAGAGGCGAAGCTGAGCGTCGCTACACCTCCAATACAACAAACATAGCATGAAAAACTAGCAGACAGAAATTGAGACGAAAGCCAATGGTAAAGAAGTATATGAAAACAAGAAAGCATGGACAGATTTTGCTTTGAAAAGGCTTGCATGTGTGTTCCAGGAAAAAACTGCATAAGCTACAAAAAATCAACACTAAAAACAACATTCGGGTCTCTGAAGTCGAAAAAAGTCGATAAATTGTTTCAATTAGAGAGCTCAAATACGTTCTCGATGTTGATGCAATACTGAAAGAATGCAGTCAATTTTTAGCCGGCGTTTTATCAAAATTATACAAGGTTGTTCAAAGGAAAGTCGAGTTCTCGATTAAGAGTTCCCTGAGTCGAGTTCTCGATTATGAGTTTACTTTTGCAAGTGTAAAGCTTCAACAGTGCCAGGTTTTCGAATGCCTACACAGTTAAGCCTTCATGTGTTTTTGAGATAATTGGATAGTCAAACAAGGATAGCCAGTTACTGTGCAAGTAGCACAGAATGTTCCGACCAGTCTTAAAAAATACAAAAATGTTTTCTCAAATTGATGTCGTTTTCTTCTTCATGTTGTGATAAAAAAAATCTGAACGAAATTATAGCACTTCGGCATATTAGAGTCATAGCCAAATAGATCAATTGGAAAACAGTCTTCGAAGAATAATAAAAACAAAACAAAAATTTGAAAAAATAAATTCTAAGAAAATTGAGAAAAAAATTTTTGCGCGAATTTTTTGAGATTTCAAGTTTTTGATTCCCAAAATTGCGCTAAAAAACTCAAAAAAACTACCTTTTCTTGAATAAAACCAAGTTTTCACGGCTGAAATTAAGCTTAAATAAGCTATTGCTATTGCTAACTACCTTACTGATTAGCTCGAATTAGACCAAAAATCAAAAATTTCAAACCGGTTTTTCTCGACACTGAAATTTTTTTTTAATTTTTCAACGTCGTTCAAATCACGACTGAAAAGGCTTTAATATGATATATCACTCAACCCCGCCCGATGATTATTTGCGGTAACTGATTTTGCGTGGAAAACAAACATAACTAAAACACACCCGAATACAAAGTTCCTCCCCATTTTCAATGGTCGGAACAAAAAAACTAAAACACACCCGAATACAAAGTTCCTCCCCATTTTAACTGGTCGGAATAAAAACCTGACAAGAGAATTTGGTAGATTTTGTCAAAAACCATAATCAGTCGTACAATTTATAGTACAGTACCCTATTATATTTAAAAAAACAAAGCGATGAACTAAATTATGAACATAAAGTTTTAATTTTTAAAACAAATACATTTACCAGGAAAGATGATTTAAATACTAATTTGAATTTAATAAAATACTAAACACCATATATGGTCAAATCAGACATTGAAGCAGCCAGTTTCTTTCTATCCTCGTCTAGCAACTTCTTCACGCAGCTTCCCAGCAGCTCGAAATTTTCAACCGACGCGGTGTTTGCACTTAGACAACCTTCAGCTAAATTCGAAGTTTTCTGATACGATGTTCTTTCTTTTAGTCTTAACTGCATGTTATCCTGTTGCAGCTGTCTGTTTTTCTTCTGAAGTTGGCGTATTAGCCGAATAGCAGCGTTCCTAGTTACCTCATCTTCTGTACTTTCGACTGATGGGTTTGATAAAGTTTGAATCCTAGAATTGAGGTGCAAAACTTGATCACTGAGTCTCTTGGCTTCTCTTTCTTTTTCATTCAGGAGTTCTCGTCTCACTAAATTTTGTCTCTGTATCCTAGATTCTATTTCGACTTCAATTTGATCTCGAATAGTTTTCTCCAATTCATTCATCGTCTTCATTTTCCAGTCATTCATCGAAATTTTCATGCTATGTATTTGCTCATCCTTTTCGCGCAGCTGACATCTAATTTTGCGCGAAACATTTTTTTCGTCTTCGATAAGTTTTCTCAGTTCTTCAATTTGAGTCAAATACTCATCTATAATTTCTTCCCTCACCTTCGCCATCGCTTCGTTTTTATCCTGCTTTAGGCGCTTTTCGAGGTTTTGAAGCTCAAATCGAGATTTCTGCTCAGTTTCGATAACTTTATTTCGCAGTTGTTCTGAATTTTGGTTTATGTTATCCACATAACCTCTCAATTCTGACACTAAAGCCCTCAGAAGGGCAAGTTTAGACAAAATATCTTTGATGCGGTTCGAAACATTGCCAAATGGCGGAAATGTGACGGGTAATCCAAGACCCATCACAGAACTGAGGACCTTACAAGCATTTTCTATTTCTACGTCCACAGTTTTTTCTAGAGCGTTGAGCTCCTTTCGAATCCTGTCCTCGGATTTTTTCAGTACTTTTAATTCGGTAGTGACTTCGTTTAATTCATGATAATAACTCGAAGCATTATCTTGAATTTTGTTTATATCTTGTTCCGATTGGTTTTTGAAGTCATCCGACATACGAGATATTTCTTCATTCTTAGTTCTCTCTAAGTTTTCTTTTTCGGACTGAAAACTTATCGTGAGTTGATTGATTTTTTCATGGTGATCTTTGATATTTTCAGCCAGCTGCAAGTGTAGTTTCTCTATTTTTGCTTCATAATTTGAAACTTTTTGCTGAAAAGTTTCATTTGCGGCTAGCAGCTTCAAATCGAGCTCGTTTTTGGCTTTTTCTAAATCAAGTTTTAAGTTTTTCTCACGTCTCTCGAAATCACTAGCTTCATTTTCTAATTTGATATTCTTCAAGCGCAATTCGTCCGATAAACTTTCGACAGTTTTCTTCAGGTTTTGTTCACGTTCTGAAGTTTCTCCTTTAATTTTAGACACGAATTTGTTCAATTCGTTCAACTCATTGTTCAGTCGATCGATTTCTTTCGCCATGTTTAAGCGATCTCTTTTGAATAACTTTGCCTCATGAACTATGAACTCTACGTTAATACTTTCATTTTCATCTTCATTTAGTTTTGCACTTTTCAGAACCTGAATTGCTTCGGCCATTAGTTCTTTCATTCTATTTATTTCAGTAACTTTTTGAGACATCGTTGATATTTGCTTTTCATTCACACTTCTATTTTCTTGATCTTTTTCAACTACAATTTTTTTCAATCTGTTCACTTCAGATGCAAAATTATTTTCTAACTCCTGGTTTTTCGCATTCGCACTGATAATTTCTTTATTTTTGGATTGCATTTCTTCGTTTAACTTTCCAATTTGCATCTGAAGTTTCAATACCACTTCTTTGAACTCATTTTCAGCATTTGAATTATTTTGTTGAATGAATGAAATTTCTTTTTCCAATTCTTCATTTTGAGTACTCAGTTCTTCTATTTCGACCGTAAGCGTATCGATTTTAGAATTTTTGGCTTTCAGTTCATCAGAAAATTTGTCCGTCTGAGATTGGAATTCCAGTTCTAAATCACTTTTGGTACTTTCCAAACTTTCTAGTTTGAATTTCAGCTCACCATTTTCATTGATTATTGCATCTACTTTTGAAGTGTTGAGAGCCAGCTTGTTTTCCAACTTCAGTTCCGCCTGTTTTAGTTTCGAACTTTTCAGTTCCAGTTCTAATCTGACTTGATCTGTTTTCTTCTCTAAATTAAGAATATCCATTTCGTACCTTTTTATCCTTTCTTTCATCTCCTCTTCTGAGCTTTTTATTTCATCTCGATTTTTCTTCGCGGCCTCCTGTAAAATCCTCAGCTCTTTCAAAGCTCCTTGTTTTTTGGCTAACACGTCGGTTAATTCGCTTTCGGCGAGCGAGACATCACTCGCTGATTTTGAAGCAAGCGAAGCTAAGCCATTGTCACGAATTGATTGGTCGGAGCTTATATCCATCTGTTCTCGTTTGATGGCGGTCATTTTCTTGTGTTTGGAAATAACTGGTTGTCGTTTTGCAATCTCGTCTTGCAGCTTTTTAGCCTTGTTTTCGATGTAATTGAAGGTTTCGGTGGCGTTTGCGTTGTCAGGTTCATCTTCTCCTGAACACGGAAACAATTAAAACATATCAACGTTGAGATAAAATTGCTTGATTCATAGGCTTAAATCAAAAGACTCGATTGTAAGAATTTGGTCGAAAACAAAATTATCAAACAAACAATTTATCTGAGCAGATTGCGGGATAAAACCATCTTTGCAAAAAGCACGCCAAAAATATACTAACACTAAGCTTACCGGAAGATATCATTTTGGACCTCGGTGGTGGTTTCGGTGAGCTTGACACAGCTCTGCGATTAGTTACTTTCAAGCTGGTTTGCAATGAGCACTTTTTCTGCTGTTGATCTTGCTGTTTTTCCCAGAAATCTTTCACTTTGGAGTATTTCCGCTGCGCCCTCAATCCGTTCACGTGACTGCTCTGGGTCAAACCATCCTGATCATCTTCCAGGTAATCCTCAAGGTCAAAGGGATTGACGTTACCTGCCTTGTTGAAGTTATGAGAGTTAAACACGAAGGAACCTATCTTGACGTGGTTTTCAGTTGCTTTATCTTTAAGTTTCGCTTCGTCTGTGGAATTTGGGTTTGAATTGAAAAGGGTATTCTGGTTTGTTCGAGTAATCACAACCTGACGTCCTTTAAGATTGATACAGACTAAATGCTTCTGTACTTTAGCTAAAACAAACCAGCTGGTTTTTAGGAAGACCAAATACTTTGAATCAGAATATGTTATGTTGCAACTGGCAACTGATACATATTCGATTCTAACTCACATAAGGGGAAGAAATTTTGATCATCATCTTTTCGAGTCAACCGCATTCCAAAATTTTGAATGCATTTTAGAAACTTTGACTCAGAGTGAATATGTTGTCAAAACTTGGGAGGCCAGCAAGATTCAATAACACTGATCAAAGCAAGTTATTTGAACGATATAATTTACTAGTCTAAGCCTAAATGAAAATTGCATGCAAACAATTTCAGCAAAAAGAAAATGAAAATTATAGAGTTTCAGCTGAGCTGAGAATTAAAGTGCGGCCTGTGTTTAGACAACCGCATATTCATACTCGCCTGTAAGTAGGCAAACACTATATCAACCAAACAGAATCGAGACAAGGAAGGAATTTAAAACATAGAGTCAAAGCTGAGCTTCGAACCACTTCCGATACAATATATGTATGATGAAAGCACCATAACGCTCAATAATAAGCAAACAGAACTTAGCGAGGTTAATTAAAGAAATGGGATTTTATTTTTAAAAAAGATATTTTGTTTCGTGTTTAAATCAACAAAAAATTTCAAAGATGTCCAAGTGATGTTAATTTTGGGCATGCAAGTATTGGTGTCAGACAGAGTATTACCAATCTCAAAAAATACTACCGGAAATTTCAAGGGTAAAAATAGGTAAATAGGCCGACATAATTAGTCGACAGTCAATAAGCTGAAATTCAGCCAAAAATTTTCGTGAAAAAATCTAATTGCACATAAATACATGTAACGGCAACTATGTAACGCTATATAAGTAGTGTATGCAAAGTGGAATACATAATTTGGACACAAACCGATAAAGCTTAAGTTGACAACTATGAAGCCAAAAAATCATCAGCAGAAAAAAAATATCGAAACTCTCTAATCTTTCATTTAATGGTTTAAGATCTATAAATTGCATGCACCAGCAGTAACTAATACCCGTTAGTTACATTTAATTTTTCAAAAACTTGAGCATGCCATTAGCATAGTCGGCAACATAGCAGCAAGTGATTCAAGTGATTTTGTTAAACTATTTGCTAACCCAAAAAAGTCTATATTCCGATTTAATAACGCTTACCAATCGCAAGCGGAAAAAACTAGGGGCTAGCTAAAGATAGAATTACCTGTTTGATAATTTTTGAACTTTTTGTACCGATGCGGAATGAACCGGATAATTTCAAAATTTCGAAAATTGGGCTTCATCTAAAGGCTTAGTTGGTTCTCTAAACAATTAAGAAGGATTGGGTTTTTTGAGAATTTACCAAGAACAATGTTTTTCTTACAATTTTTAAGGCGTAGCCTGTCTGTTGTTTCAATTAAAAAATTTGATATTAGATTCGGCTGGGTAGTTTTCGAGAAAGGCCAAGTTTCAAAAAACGTACTAGAAATTAAAACCTTGACTTTTCTGAGGGCCATAATCTTTTTTGAAGAACATTTGAACTTAGCTGCTGGTACAGGAAAACTTTCTTCAAACCTTTTTTTGGATTGAACTCAAGACCTCACATTTAGATTTGTAGTTTCCAAAAAAAGTCAAGAAGATTCAAAAAACGGTCAAAAAATCAAAACTTTGACATTTACGAGGTCATTACTTTTCGTGTAAAAAAGGGTAGCCGTTATGCAGTGGGGCTTCGAACAATCTGTTTTTACTTTTTAACCAAAAATTCAGATTTGAGAAAGTAGTTTTCGAGAAAGTCAGAAAAAATGGTTAAAAAATTGAAAATTTGACTTCTCCGAGTGTCATAACTTTTTGTGTAATCTCAGATTTGTCGGGATAGTTTTTGAGAAAATGTCATAAACCCAAAAAATATAGGTCAAAAATTCCCCCACCCACTTTTTCGAAGGCGGTAGAAAGTGGGGTCAGGTAAAAAGAGCCTAGGGAATTATGCAGGCACACAGGATTTTGGGCGGACTTCCCATTGGTTTTATTTTAAAAAAAATCGATAGTAGTTTTTCAGAAAAACTAAATTATTTGAAAAAATGAAAAAGTTTTCCAAAGCGTCTCAAAAAAAATCCAATACATTTTTATAATACCAATTTTATCAAACAGGAATTATTATTTATTTCAGAACTTTGTTTTCTCATCTCGATTCTGATTGATTAATTAGTATGTCTTTTTAATAATGAGTATGAATACACCATTGTCTAAATACTGCTACGTAACCTGAAAATCTAACTACCTGTATTCAAAAATTCTCGTTTTAACTGTTAGTCTTATAACTCATTTTTAGGTTCTAAAACTATATGTTAAATATTCTTTACTGACTGAACAATTTCGTAATTTTTTGGCCTATTTATTTGATCTAAAACTATAAATTAGAATCTGTAGCTGCCTTTAAATTTTCCAGCAACATTCATTATGAGTGTTAACTTTTGAAATGTCGTTATTGCTGGGAAGCTCAAATATCATGCTCACAAAAATGGATTTCTTAGACTCTGTTGAAACTGTATTAAATATATAGGCTCAAAACTCGATCCAAATGATGCTTTTGTGTTACCTGATTTTTATCAGATTTTGCGCGCAAAAAAAGCCCAAAAAGAAATAAAAACCTTCTCTGGAAAATTATCTTTTAACAATCATTTGAAAATATCAAGCCATATTATTCTTTAGATCTTAGGTAATTTTCTTATTTCCCTCGAAATCTGAAAATGAAAATCCACTTACGAAACAAAAACTCGATCACGTTTTTTGTGACTTTTTTTGCTGTACAATAAAGTAATTAACCTTTCTTTTAAAAAACAGATGAAGTGAACTTAGAAACAAATAAAAAGACAAAAAGCGAAAAATTAAAATTGAGCGCAAACAAATTTTAGACGTCTTCCTGAAAAAATTATCACGACTTATATAAGTGTCTTCACTGCGTCTATTGACACTTGAACAGAAAAAAAATTACAAAAAACTACAACAAAGGTTGAGAGGTGAAGCGGAGCTTCGCAACAGTTGCGATACAATTTGCAACATTGCATTAAAAGATATTGAATATAAAAAAGAAGCAATTTATTATTTTTTTTGAAAAATCAAGCTGAAAAAATTACTTGAAAAAAATCGATAAAACTATAACTAAAAAATTTCATACATTCGTCTCAAATGATGTTCATAAACAGCCGGAACAAACATTGAGAATACAGGACAGAGGGGAAACTTAGGCGAAAAAACTTGGGTCAACCAAAAAACTCCAAAAGTCAGACAGTTTCTAAAAAATGGAGCACAATTTCAATAAATGCACGTTTTCAAGGCGATTACTTTTTTCATAACAAAAATAAGGGCAACATCAGTTGTACAGCGAGTTCTCGAGAAAAGGAAAAAGTAACCAAAAAACGGTCTAAAATATCAAGAAAATTTCTTGTCTACCAATTAGGGCGTGTTAATTTAAGCAAGGCATACCCATAAGCAACGCCTTTTTGAGTGAATCCTTTATCTCAGATTTGTCATCATGTTTTCCGGGGAAAAAATAATTCAAGAAAGATTGGTCAAAAATTCCCGCCCACTGAATTATCTGAAGGTCGCAGAACACCAGGTAAAGTAAAGAAGAAATAAGCATAATATCTAAGCCAATAGGGGAGCAGCCGATCTCTCCATTTGTAATACGTGTTCGAAAATCACTAAACCAAATCTCGAGAATAATTGAAATTTTCGCCAAAAATGCAAAAATTTTCATAAGGAGGGACCGTAATATGACATCGATACGCTGGTGAAAAAATCAAAACTTCTACGACCCATCTACACTCAAACAAGCAAAAGCATTTAACAATTAGCCTGAAACTACGCATCATAACTTGACTAACACGATAAAATTACCGAAAAAAAATTAAAAATCAGAGTTGCTTTACAAACTGTAGAACAAATTTCATTTAGGTGAAAATTGTTTAATACAAAAAAAACAAAACAGAGTCGGAGCTGATCTTCGAAACACTTGCAATACAATCAAAACACTTAAATACAACGATACTAAAAAGAAAAAAAAATGATTTTTTTTTTGAAAAATTAGGCTAAAAAAATGACTCGAACTATGTCGGAAAAATAACATCTATAAAAATTTTTTGCCTTTGTCTTGGATGATGTTTATGAACAGCCAAAACAAGCATTGAAAATCAGTGACCGAGTGGCAACTAAGGCGACAAAAAATGCGTCGACCATTGTCAAGCCGAAAACGAAGCTGATCTTCGAAACACTTGCTATACAATGAAAACCTTTCAATACACAATATATTTTTAAAAAACGGAGAAAATTGTTTTTTTTTCTTGAAAAATTAAGCTAAAAAATTACTTGAACTAAGTCTGAAAAATAACATCTATAAAATTTTTTGCCTTCGTCTTTGATGATTGATGTTTGTGAACAGCCATAACAAGCATTGAGAATCAGTGACCGAGTGGCAACTAAGGCGACAAAAAATGCGTCGACCATTGTTAAGCCGAAAACGATGCTGATCTTCGAAACACTTGCTATACAATGAAAACCTTTCAATACACGATGTATTTAAAAGAAAAGAAGAAAATTGTTTTTTTTTTGAAAAAATTAAGCTAAAAAAATGACTCGAACTAAGTCGGAAAAATAACATCTATAAAAATTTTTTGCCTTTGTCTTGGATGATGTTTATGAACAGCCAAAACAAGCATTGAAAATCAGTGACCGAGTGGCAACTAAGGCGACAAAAAATGCGTCGACCATTGTCAAGCCGAAAACGAAGCTGATCTTCGAAACACTTGCTATACAATGAAAACCTTTCAATACACAATATATTTTTAAAAAACGGAGAAAATTGTTTTTTTTTCTTGAAAAATTAAGCTAAAAAATTACTTGAACTAAGTCTGAAAAATAACATCTATAAAATTTTTTGCCTTCGTCTTTGATGATTGATGTTTGTGAACAGCCATAACAAGCATTGAGAATCAGTGACCGAGTGGCAACTAAGGCGACAAAAAATGCGTCGACCATTGTTAAGCCGAAAACGATGCTGATCTTCGAAACACTTGCTATACAATGAAAACCTTTCAATACACGATGTATTTAAAAGAAAAGAAGAAAATTGTTTTTTTTTTGAAAAAATTAAGCTAAAAAAATGACTTGAACTAAG